GCAGATGGAGAGATGGGTTGGGTGGTTTGGGAAGCCATAACTGATTTCAGCACAAATTCACTTGTCTCCTTGAAGCTTGCAAAATTAGCATGTGTACATAATATAAAAAATTAGTTCTACATGTACATGTATCTATAGTTACATCTATATACATCTGTAGATATAGATATCTTCCAGGGTCAAAGGAAGTAGATCTTCAGGGATAGTCTTACAGGGGAAGAATGAAGGATTATGGGAGGGGCAAAATAGTAGAATTCAAGGAAGCCCACTGATGTCTCCCACCAGGCCTTATGTAGCTTGGTCTCTTCAAGCAGGGAAGATTAACTAGTGGAAGCTAGTGACAGGGTTATAGAATGACAGGAGAGGCAGGGGCAGCTCCTTGAGCCAGGGAGCACAGGCTTGGGCAGAGTTAGCCTTGACAGCTCGACTGAAGGGTTATCTGGTAGTTGTAGCAGCCACAGACTACATAAGCTCGGCATCCCCTTGTCCTTCCCCGTGAATTGCCATCACCGGTCGGCCTACTAACTAGTACATGGTAAACAGACCATGCCTGAAGAAACTGAGTGGAGAAGTAAGAGCAAAAAGGGAAGAAGGCTAAGGACTGAGCTTTGGAAAATAACCATATTCTTGTGTGTGTATGTGTGTGTGTGTGTGTGTGTGTGTGTGTGTGTGTGTGTGCATGTGTGTGAGTGTGAGAGAGAGAGAGAGTGTGAAAGAGAGGAGAGAGAGAGAGAGAATGGGTCTAGAAATTATATATATATATATATATACACACACACACACACATATATGTGTATATGTGTTTATATACTCACACACACATACACACTTGGTACACAGTAGGTACTAAGTAAATGCTTATTGTGAGTTTCAAAATATCAAGACAGCGAGTCCCTGGGAATCTGAGCATTGAGGCCTCCTAGCTTCCCAACGTCCCAGAATCCCACCACACAGGAATCTGGAAGTTGAGTTCATGTAGCATTTTGCAGCCAAGCAATGATGTTTTGAGGTGTGAGTAAATATCCCTTTTTAAAAGCTAATTGACATTAAGTGGTTAAATGGAACTAGCATTAGTCACTCACTGGAAGCTAACAGTGGGGGGGAGCAAAGCCAGTGGAGGCTTGAGCCAATTGCATTAGAGAAGAGACTTTCCACCCCCTCAGAATGCCCCTAGAACCCAGAAGGGAAGAGAGCAGGGGCTGGCTCTGAGAAGGTGGGTCAGGGCATGCTCATCATAAAACAAGTACTTTGAGGGAAGGGCTATTTTAAGCTACATTTGTGTTCCTATGGCCTAGAGCACTTAGGGACCTAACACATAGTAAACACTTAATGAATAATGCTTGTTGATTTGACTTGCTGAGTAGAAGGTTAATGAATACTTTTTTTGGATTATATTTTATTGGTGATCAATCAACCTATTCATGTTAATCTTTTGATAATGGACATATAATCCATTCCCAGACAGTATAGTATAGAGTAATGATGGCGATCTTGGAGTCAGCAGAAACCTGTATTAAAATCCCACCTTGGACACTATGACCATGAAAGAGTCATTTAAACTTTTTTGGCTTGATTTTCCACATCTATATAATGGAGACAGTAACATCTGTATATCTACCTAACAGGGTTGTTGTGGAACTTAAATGAGACAATATACTTTAAAAATCTCAAAACACTACATGAATCTCTGTTATTTTTATTACCACTGTATTGAGTACCAGCAAAGGAGGACCTTCCAAGGCCTGTGCTACACAAGGTCTAAGGGTCATCTCCAGGCCATTAGGAAGCATTCCAGGAGGAATTTAGTAGAGGCTATAGGGATCATGGCCAGAATCTGAAAAAGTTCAGACTCTGGAAACAAAGGACCTGGGTTTAATCTTATCTCTGTCACTTAGTATCTGTGTGACCTTGGATAAGTGTCTTAACCTCTCTTGGCTTTAGCTTCCTCATCTATGAAATTAGGGGGTTAGACTAGATGGCATCTAGCATCCGTTCCATTCCAATTGTTTTTTTTTTTGAGGCAATTGAGGTTAAATGACTTGCCCAGTTTCACCCAGTTAGTAAGAGTCCAAAGACAGATTTATAGTCTTTTTTTTTTTTGAGGCAATCAGGATTAAGTGACTTGCCCAGGGTCACACAGCTAGTAAACATCTCTAAACCTGTGATCCTAAACATGAGAAATCAGAAAGTGATCTAGCTTCAGAAGAATGAGAAGTTTATATTCAACCTGTGAAATATTGGTAGGATACCACAGCGGAATATCTCAGATCCCCGCGGTGGTTAGGGGAAAGAGTACTAGAGACTTGGGGTTAAATCACAGATCTGGCACTAACTAGCCATGTGACCTTGGCCAAGTCCTTTCTTCTGTCTTGCCCTCAGTTTGCTTATTTATAAAGAGGAGGGATTGTATACTCTCAAAGATTCCTTTTAACTTTCTGTTGCTATGACTGTAGCAAAAGCAAGCAATCAAGTTTGAAATCAAAGCATGGGGTATCACAAAAGAGAAGAATGTGTGGAATAATGCCTAGGCTGTAATGTAAGAATCACCTCTTATATAAAGCCTGTGCATTTTCTCAGCAGTGAAGCCAGGAACTCTTAGGAGATGGTTCAAGGTATGTACTTCTGTGAAATAGCAAGTGTCACCTGATGCTTTTTAAAAGGACAAACACAAGCATGTCAGAGACTCCAAAAAGGATTCCAACTGCTGGGTAAGGAACAGAAGAAGTTCGTGGCTGAAGAGGAGAAATGGGCATAGCTGTCTTTGATGTCTAGCCTGCCTCCAGCGTGGGTCCTTGATTGGACTCACTAGAAAACTTCTGTCTGGTATCATCAATTTCTCCACCCACTACGTGGAGAGTACATTTCAGGGCTATTCCAAGGCTTACTTGGGTACTGAGTGATTCTATAACCCTGCCAAAATAGAAATGTTATAAACTCTTCAATGCTATAAATACAATCTTGCCTCTCTGGCTCAGCACCTCTGTGAGAGAAGAAGGAAAAAAATGAGTTCTAAAATAGTCTTGAGGTCTGAAAATAACAAGGAAAAATATAGCTATACAGCTATATTTATATATCTATACAGCTATATTTATATATCTATACACACATATGTGTATATATGTGCAGAAATATATGTACATGTATCATATATGTATGTATATATATGAGACAGAAAGTTCCAAAGTCTTGGTATAATTTAAAGTTTTAATAATTAAAACTTTGTTAAGACTCTTGGAACACCGTATGTGTGTATGTGTGTGCATATATATACACATACATATATATTTATGTATATATATAAATACATACATATATTTATGTATATATACATATATAAATACATACATATACATACACACACCCTTCTGCATATCAAATAGAGATGTTCTCAGTGTTAGCTTTTCCCCTAGGAGGCAGATCCAGGGGATCTTTGTTATGAACTTACTGTTACTGTATTAAACTGAGCTGCAAAATTAAAAAAAAACTTGCATCTAATTTTAGCAAGTCCAAAGACACGGCCACATGGCAAAATTGCCTCAAAAAAACAATTGGAATGGAATGGATGCTAGATGCCATCTAGTCTAACCCCCTAATTTCATAGATGAGGAAGCTAAAGCCAAGAGAGGTTAAGACACTTATCCAAGGTCACACAGATACTAAGTGACAGAGATAAGATTAAACCCAGGTCCTTTGTTTCCAGAGTCTGAACTTTTTCAGATTCTGGCCATGATCCCTATAGCCTCTACTAAATTCCTCCTGGAATGCTTCCTAATGGCCTGGAGATGACCCTTAGACCTTGTGTAGCACAGGCCTTGGAAGGTCCTCCTTTGCTGGTACTCAATACAGTGGTAATAAAAATAACAGAGATTCATGTAGTGTTTTGAGATTTTTAAAGTATATTGTCTCATTTAAGTTCCAAGTTTCAAATAGAAAAGACCTAGCTCTCTGGATAAAAGAGGGAGAGGGGCTGGTTGTTTCAGATCTTTGACTTGAAAGCTGAATTCCTCCCTCCCCACTCAGGACAGTGAAAACTGTGCTTTGATTATAGGGTACCTAGTTTGGTTCTGTATGTAACTCAGGTTGCCCATCTACTTTGACAAATCTCTCTCTCACCAGAGAATAGTACTACCAATTTTATAGTCCCTCCTAAACCCTCAAGGGAGTCAGTCAACAAACATTTTTAGTGACTACTATGTACTAAATTCTGCATGGGGCCACCTTGGGCCTAGGAAAACCATGTTTCTAGCTATGTAATCTCAGAATTTGAAGAGACTTTCTGGATATTATGGCATAATGGAAAGAACCCTGGATTTGGAGTCAGAAAACCGAGGTGTGAAACTTAGCTTTGGGATGAACCGTATTACTTTGGTCAAGTCACTTAACCTCTGTCTCAATTTTCCCATATGTCAAAAAGAAGGACTTTTTGAAAAAAAAATTAATCCTCTTTCAGTTCTAAATCTATGATTCTATGGTATAAGAGGAATCACTACTATTACATACCTGACAACTAGTCTTTTAGCCTTCACTTAGAGGCCTACACCAACAAATCCCGGATTTGTTCTGTGAAGTTTGGATTCAGGCAAAGGGCCACACTTGAGGACCTAGAGGGCCACATGTGGCCTTGAGGCTGCAGGTTCCCCACCCCTGGCCTACACTGAGAGGAAACCTAGTACCTTCAAAGGTATCCCATTCTCCTTTTAGATGGCTGTGGTAATTGGGAAGCTTTTCCATATATCCAGCCTGAATCTGTCTTATTGTAACTTCTACTCACCACTACTAGTTCTGCACACCAAGGTTTAACAGAACAAGTCTAATCCCCTTTCCATGGGAGGACCCTTAAGATCCTTGAAGTCAATTATTATATTCCCCCAAATCTTTTCCTCTGTAGGCTGAATATCCCCAGTTCCTTCGAGTCATCCTCATGTAATATGAACTCAAGACTCTTCACCCTTCTTTGTGCTTTCCTGCTTAATCTTCTTATCAAAATGACTCAGACTCACCTTTGGTCTCCTCCACTCAGGGCTTAGAATGCTTTTTCATGCATGAGTCTCTGCCCTATGGCACTGTCATTGGCCAGGAATATGGCATCTTCGAATAGCCTGCCTCTCCTTAAACAGTGATTCCTCAAGGAGGTGAAGTCCTGCTTTTTGAATTGTATGATGCTATCTGTGGTGTTGAAATATCTTGGCATCATCTGGTTATAGAACATGGCTTCTCCAAAGAATAACCTCTTTCTCTGGTAAGAAAGAAAGAATTCTGGTAAGAGTGAGTCACCTATTCTTTCATGGTCTCTTCTGGCTTATTCCAATGTATATGAAAATGTTCATATAGCTCTGTCCTCTACATTCAAAGAGGACATTGTGAACCCAGTCAACAAGGTGGTACCCTGGGGCATTGAGATACTTTTGCAAGATAACCAAAATCCCTGTATTCTTTTGCCCAGAGATGCCACATTCTCTCAATTAGAGCTTCCTTCTTTCCTCTTCCTCTATTCTCTCAACCAAGGGAATACTAGCTTTGGATGAATGGCTGGACTCAGAGTTTCCCACAGAGAAACAGAACTCTCACCCTAAAGGCAAGAGGCTCTCATCAGCTGAACCAACCAGTTTCAACAGAGAAATGTTCATTCAATCAATCATGCTACAAACATTTATTAGGCACCTACTTTCTTCAAAGCATGATGCTAGACACTGTATGTACAATGATGAATAAGATATGGTTCCTATCTTCAGGGAAATTATGATTTAAGGTATGCATATTGATCATTGTAATACAAAATATAATAAGTGCATTAAAAGATTATGAATAAAGTTCCTGAAGATTGGGGCAATGGGCAAATCACTTTGTTTCGAGAGTAATCAGGAAAGAATTCCTAGAAGAGACTGGCATTTGTACTGCTTAGGTCTTCAAGGTTAGGTAAGATTTCAATAGATATATGGGGATAGGATAGGGAAGGAATATAGGTATAGAGAATGATACAAGCCAAGGCATGGAGTGAAGTAGTTCAGTTTTGGGAAGCATAAACCAAATTACTCTGCCCGGGTAGGTTGTCTTGAAATTGTGGAGGACTTTGAAGGGAAGACTAAGGAATTTGGATTTTATCTGGTAAACAATGGAAAGGCATTAAAGAATTCTGAATGCGGTCAGAACTGTGATGTAGGAAAATTAATCTAATAGTGTTGAGCAGGATTGGAGGAAGGAGAGATTTAATTCAGGAAGGCCAGTTAGGAGATGATTTCATTAGATAAATGACAGACTGAACTAGGGTGATGGTCTTGGGAGTAGAAAGGAAGGGAAAGGTGGATGTTGTAGAGGTCAACTCTACAGGATTTTCTTGCAGTATGCACTGTATAGGAGAAAAAGAAGTGGCAATATTCTCCAGCAGCTGCTACTTTCTGGTGCTAGAGAGAGCGGAAAAGACAGAGACAAATCCTCCTGTCAGGAATACCAGTGAGAAGGGCAGAACAGAGGGGAGCTTTGCTCTGCTGTCCAGAAATGCATTCCATTTGTACCTATCCAGTTTCAGCTTTGCTATCTTTCTGTACCACACAGAGAGCTATCAGAGAACATCCTAGCTCCTCATTCTCTTAGGATGGCTTCTGAAAGATTCCAGCACCACACTTTAATCATGCAACAAGAGAAGCCAATGCATGTTTTTCCCTTTGTCTTTTCATTTTTGCTTTCCCTGTTTGTGTAAGACAAAAGAAGAAGAAGAAGAAGAAGAAGAAGAAGAAGAAGAAGAAGAAGAAGAAGAAGAAGAAGAAGAAGAAGAAGAAGAAGAAGAAGAAGAAGAAGAAGAAGAGTGTGCGACCAGGGCCCGTGGAGGAGAAATGTCAGACATCATTGCCTCAAGGAAAGGCCTTAAAAAGAAGGTGTGCATGCCATTCCACACTGAATTCTTAAAAACCACTGTGGATTTGCAGTGGCTTTATTCACATCCCAGGGCATGGCATGGTGGTGTGGAAAGAGGGCTAGAGCTGGAGTCAAAAACACCTAAGTTTAAATCTCATCTCTGATACTTTATTGTCTGTGTGACCCTGGTTAAGTCATTCAACATTGCTGGAACTCCAGTTTCTTCTGTATAAAATGGAGATAATGATATAGGTACTACCTACTTTATAACCTTGTTAAAAGGCTCAGTAATCTATGATAAGCGATCTGCAAACTTCCAAGTACTCAAGGGAGTTTGTCCTTAGAACCAGATCTGTTCAAACCAGTTAAAACTGCTCAAAACCAGGTTAGACCAGTCCAAACTGCTTCAGATGGTATGACCTGTTTAAAACAGTTTGGACTAATTTAGATGCTGTGAACCAGTTTAGAGACAGGTTTAAACTGATGGTTTAGACTGGTCTGAACTGGTTTTGACTGGTTTAAACAGATTTTTATGGTTTAAGTGGGTTTGAATTGGTTTAGACTTATTTGAACTGGTTTAAGCCAGTCCTGAATGGCTTTGACTTGTTTGAACCTATTTTTACTGGTTTGAACTGGTCTTAACTGGTTATAACTGATTTTGACTGGCTTCAACCAGTTTTGACTGGTTTGAACTGCTTTAGACCTGTTTTGATGGCTTTGAACAGGTTTGAACCAGTTTTACCAATTTGAACTGGCTTTAACTGGTTTTTATTGCATTTAAGGTCAAAAACCTTAATCAAGGCTTTTTTACAGTTTTAAACACATTGCTCTCTTTAGTGTGGGTAATTTTTTAGGGAACAGAATATGATCAGATAGCAGGGAATTCTATAATCCGGCTAGGAGAACCTGTTTCTAATAGTTCACAGGTGGATTATAGGGATAAGAATGGAAGCAAGAAGTAAACTTGACCACTAGTTGGTGCTTCTCTGAGTTACAATAAAATTCTTTCCACACTCAGCCTTCAATTAGTCAGTTTGCACTTATTAAAATTTCTACTGGATAATTTATCATTAGAAAGATTAGTTATTCAACTTATAGTTAGGTGACCTTTCCTAGCACAAGAGAAACACTTTTGAAATGCTTTTGTGTGTCAGGCAGGGATTGATTAACAGAATGGAAACATCCTTAAGCCGACCTAGGAACAATTAAATCCTAATTCAATTTCTAACTGGTCTTTTGGAATGGCCAAAAATCCCTCTCATAGGCCAAATAAGTAGGTTTCAATTAATCTCAATTGAGAGGATGATTTGCTTTCTAAGAATTAAAGGTACAAGACAGAGAATTTCCCTCATTGGCCCTTGCTGTCTATGATGGGGATCAGAGAGGCAAGCTGCTTTAAGGTACGTTCTATCTCCATCTGAGATCTTATACAAATGGCTGCTGTTACCACACCCCCCAAAATCAGCTTAGTTTTTACTGGGGGGTTGGGGAGTGGGACCTCTTATTTAGGCCCAGCCATATGTGGGATAAATACCAGGTTGTGGAAGCCTGAGACCACAGGTTTCCGCTGGACTTCTTGGAACCACAGATGTCTAGAACCAGTCACCTTCCAGTAGCCCTCGCTTCATAGGTGATCCAGCTACCCAGGAGAGCCTAAGCCTAAATGGCCACAGGTAAGCACTGAACATGGCTTTGAGCCAGTGGGCTCCCAATCACATTGCAGGCAATGGGCACACAACCAGTACAGGGCCAAGGCACAAAGCCTTTCATAAGGCAAATTCAGCACCTGGACTCCTGGCTCTTTCCCCACTCCTCTGCGTCAACCAGCAAGTCAGCCCAGCTCAGGAGGTGCTGATTCCATTCCAACCCTTCAGATTCAGCTATCTTTGACTGTGTTATTCTCTACCCCAGCTTCCCTGCACACACTAGAATCCCAGTTGGTCATTAGAATCCCAGACAGATTCTTTCTTACCCTGAACAAAATGCTAGGCCACAGTGATCGCCTGTCTACTGCCACTTAACTTGGATCTCCCATTGGCTATGACCCTATGCAGACCTGGCTAACCATGTGCCCTCCAGCTTTGGGTAGAGGGCATTTCCTGTCTGTTCTAATCCTGGCTTCCTCTGACTTCTCCAGTTCAGCTTGCCAACCAACCACCATACCCCTGGGTTCAGAAATACTGGTATCTTATAGCATAACTTCACAAGTTCTCTACTCCATAATTTGAAAAGCTACAGAAGTAATTTCTGAGACTAAACTGGCACCAGCAAATCCTATATTCACCCACAGGATCCTCCTTCTGAGCCTCCCATCTAGCCCCCCTCAACAATCCCAGCACTCTGAGGGTTAACAGAACAGCTGAAAAACAGAGAATATAGGCAAAAGGATTAGTAGAAGATTCACAGTCTTCACAGCAACACTGAGAGAATAGGTAAAAAAAAAAATCAGTAGTAAGTACTTGTCATTGAAGAGCTACTCAGACCAATGACTCAAGTTCCAGGGTGGAACTTGGAATTTATATTGCATAATTGGGCATTTTCTTCAAACTTTGCTATTTGAAAATCTAATTATCTCTTTACCTTTGTTTCCACATCTATAAACTAGGCTTGATTCTTGCCTTTAAATCACAAGATGAACCCCTGGCTGCTCTGATGACTTTAGTTCTTCTGAGTACTGTAGTGGTTGTAGTAGCTACATTCTAGGGCATCTAAAGATGAAAAGAATCCCATGTTATAGATTGTTATTTTTTGGGGGGGAGGGGAGGTTGTTCCCTGGGCCAAGGGGAGAATTCAAGACACAAAGGTTGGCATGAGCCATAAGGCCTAAGTATAGTAGATTGAATGATCGAATAAATAAATGAATAATGAATAATAAATAAAATAAATAAAAATAACTAATAAATAAAAAATGAATAAATAAATGAACAAATGAATGAATGAAATGTATTCCCTGATATTTCCCCACCCAATTCATGAGCATAAAAGATTTTACCTGGGCACAAGGCAAGAGGTAATTCTTTTTCATGCAACCATGATGAATTGACTATAAATTTATTTGATCTAATTTCGACTGAGCCCTCACTGCAGCAAGGCAATCATTTTTCTCTCCTTTCCTTATTTATTCTCTAACCTACTTCCTATAGGGGTTGTTTCAAAGCTCCTCTTCTCTCTTCACATCTCCCATACCATTCCCTCCTCCTTTCTTAGCAGAGGACCTAAGCTTATATTTTTTTGAGAAAATAGACATCATTTTCTGTGAGCTCCCTCTTGTGTACTCCATATCTTAAAAACCCTTGGTGTTATCTCTCATACTTTCTTTACTTCAGTCTCTGATGAAGAGGTGGTCCTTCTCCTCACCAAGTACAACCCCTCTATATGTGCACT